ATGTTACTCTTAATTAAAAAAAAACAAATCTGCTTGGATTTAGAGAAATATATCCAGGATTTGAGTACACGTCCTTAGTTTTTTGCTGCACTACAAATATTTCACCATTAGATGGCAAACTTTGCTTAACCATTTTGATCCTCAGAGGGCTATTTGATCCAAAATGTTTCTCAAACCTTTTATACAAGACTACAGTATAAAGTCTATATAGCTTGCTATAGCTTTTATTATTTGTTAGGCCTTTGTTTTTGTTTATTTATTCATTCCCCTTTCTCTGGCAATTTATATTACATTTCACAAAACTTTTCAGTTAAAACGTAGTTTTAGAACAGAAAATTTTAAAATAAAGAAGTTTTTTAAAGATACAGAGAGGCTTCCTTGGCCTCTGTCATTACTTTACCAAGTATGAGGGTATTTATACTGGATAATTCTTTATAAAAGCAAATGTCTACCCCATATTACTTGTTTTTATTTCTTACATTCATATACATCTTTCCTCTAAGAAGTCAGCAGGATACAGTCTTAAAGTACTCTAATCCCTGAAATTATACCCAGAATAAATTGTTTAATCTCTAAACTCTCACAAGATTCTTTCCTGCTTTGGCTGTAATAAACTAAATCTGCTTCCCCTTCTGGGCATTATTTTAATTTTGTTATAAAGAGTTCTATTCATAAAGGCCCCCAATTTAATGTATAGGACATGATAAAAAATTATATTGCCTGTTACAGTGCTGATAACTTTAGAAATTACCCATTCCTTTCCAATTATGGCTTTTAAAAAGGTATTTATTCTATGGAATTAAGATTATCTAGGGTTCCCAGATCTAGGTTACCAAAGGAGAGCCAGTTTGGTCTAGTGGTGAAGGCACCAGGCTAGAAAGCAAGAGGCTGTGAGTTCTAGCGATTTATACTGTGTTAACCACGTGCATTCAATTTGAAGTCCAATAAGGATAATTATCTGTACCTATATTATCTGTGCCTATTTTTATGTTTTATATGTTCTATACCTTTTATTTACATTCTTTTCATTGACTGTTGTGCTCAGGGCCCACATCCTGAAAGATAGCTGGGCCAACAACTCAGTTATGTTTAATCAAAGTCAAATTGAATGAATAAAACTAACTTCTTACTATCCCATTCCATGTATTTCATTTTCCCTTTCAGTTCTATTAAAAACTACAGCTGGGGAGAGCTACACCCAAGGGGTGGGGATGAGGGGAGACTGCCATTTGTACATCTCAGTATGTACAGTATCTTCAATCCATTGAATTTCTGGTTTTGGCCTCTACATAATCAGATTAAAATGTCTTTTTCAAATATTCCCCAAAAAGTATTCTCAGATAGGAAAACCATATTATTCTCCTGGGCATCTGTGTCAGAGGCAAAGGTGCACATGTGTTATGAGGCATACAACATCACTTTGACGTCATTATGGCTCTTTTTGGACTCCTAAGACCATTCTGCATATGTTCAGAGTTTCTTTGCAATTTAGAGTTGTTACAAAAGCCTTTAAACAACATTTGAGATAAAGAACTTTGGGAAGACACAGTCCTTGGTTGTCTGATTTATAATAGACTGTTGGTATCTTACTATAATAAATAAAACTAGATATAATTGCCACATTTCAAATGTGCAGGAGCAGCCCTGGTCTTGACCTGATACCACAAACACATAGTCAAGAATTGCTGCATCAGCCTGAGAGCTATGAGAACAATTCCTATGGATTGATCCCATGGAATCCATTAGGATGAGGAGATACATAGAAAGTTTGGATTGTTGTTTCTTTATCTCTCTTTCTTTGCCACTGATCTGTCTGTCTATGCCGGGGAGGTTAGCTCTGCAAAAGGGAGCTTGAGTTACTCCCACCCCCAGCCCAAATACACAGATATATATTGCAGGGTGAAGACAGTTGTATCTTCTTGGTATCTAACACAGTCCAACTAGCAGTGGTGTATTTTGTGTGTGTGTGTGTGCAAAAGAGCAAGTGGAGAAGAAGCATGGTTAGCAAATAAGGTTTGAGGCTCTTTCACCAGATTCCCACTTGGACTTAAGCATGACACAAGCCTGTCCTAGCAATGCCTTTTCTCTGCCCTGTCTTGGGGACACTGCCTTCATCTCGTTCCCAGCCTGGGAGGGAGACATGCTTAAGTCGTCCTTAATTGAACCAATAGTAAAGTAGCATTTCCCCCTTAATTCCATCTCTGTCCAGGCAAAACCAAGAAGGGCTTTGTCACTCATTACCTTGAAGAAAAGTCAGGTGGCTGCAGTGACTCGAAACAGAGGCAAGAGAAGCAAGATACAAGATCAGCACCTGGAACATCACAATTCTGGTGGACGTAGCTTTTGGCCCTTTCAAGGGTGGAAGAGAGCATTACAACAAAGTAGGGGGAAAGGCTTATTTTGTTTTATTTTTTATTTTATTTATTTTTATTTTATTTAATATATTTATAAATATATATTTATTTTATTTTTTATTGTATTATTTTTTATTATTATTTTAAAATAAGGACTGATTCCTGATGAGCTAGTTGAAGTGCCTTTGTTGCTTACTGGACGTACAAATTCCAAAAATCCAATAGATATAAACCACTGTAGTGGTTAATGGACTGGATTTGGAGCAGGGACCTGGGAATCCTGGTTTCATATGTATGTATAAAGAATGATGTATGAGTGATGATGTCATCTTGCAAATGCCTTCACTTATGTCCTCATCTTAGACACTGGGATGCAATAACAGCGTTTGAGTGATGATGCTGCTACACGTCATCATGGTTTGCTGCAGACGCAGTTAACCAGGAAAATTCCCCACTCCATTATGGATCTACTGGATAATTTGGGTCAGTAACTTTCTCTTCCCCTAACTTATAATGCAGCCTTGCTTGGAGGATTGATAGAGTTTTTTATGCTGCCTTGACCCTTAGAGAAAAAAAGGGGGGTATAAATGAAAGAAAGTTGAAGGAAATCTAAGCTTTCTGGCATTGTGAGTCCTTTCTCTGTTGAAACTGTTATTGACTAGGTTCACCCATCACGTTAACATCACGTTGTTGAATGGCTTATGGAAAAAATCCCAATAAATACACAAAAGCTGCCCCCAGGCAGAAAGACGACCTTTGCAATAGCGACAAACCTCTCCGCGTTTCCTAAATCACTTGCGAATGGATGGGCTGCAGTTGAGCAGCGTCGTGTTATGCTCGTCTTCCAAATAACGAGATATGGAGTCCTTGGTGCTCTCTGAGCTTAGCTGTTTGCTTGCAGACGTTTCTTTACCCAACTAGGTTATGCAAACAACCAAGCTCAGAGAGCACCAGCAACTCCGCCGTTCAACCCTGAGCTACAAGATATTCTCTTCTATGGCCACCAGACGTTTCAGGACTGACCGGGAGACAACAGCCGGGCTGATATATTGCCCCAAGCCTGTATTTTCGCATCTCAGTTTTCATCCTTTCTCAAAAGACGCGGAGGCTGCTGTTTTATTTGATCTTCAGGTTTGCCCTTAATCCCCCCTCACGCCGTTTTAGTTGTATAACACTTTGCGACTCTGTCGGTTGAAGAGGACTTTCGGACCGAAAGTCAGCCGTGGGAGAAGGAGAGAGGTGCTGTAGCAGGCGGGTTTCACCGATTCAGTCGTCCAGCTGCAACACCCGGATTAGGCCAGGGGAGGCCGCAGGGGGAGAAGCCCAGCGGGTGTTCCCTTCGGCAGGAGAGGCGGGTGGGGGGAGCGCGGGGACACAAGGCTTTCCCTGAGAGGGAGGCGGAGCAGCTCTGGCAGCGGTGGCGAGCACGGCGGTCGTGTCTTGCCAGCTCTCCC